CATCAGTTCCTCTATACTTTTCAGTCTAAAAATGAGATCGAGCTGCCCTTCCCTCGCGAACTGGAGTAATGGTATTTAGATATTGGAAGAACGCTGGTAGATTACTGTTTTTTGATCACAGTCATGTCCTCAACGTATCTCCACCATACCACTGATGTTGCGTGAACGTTGTTGAGTGTTTCTTTCTCCAAATTTTACTTAAAAATGCTCGTAACTGCTGAAGAGAACGAGGAACCCTTGGGTATATCTTCTAGCCGTATGAATTGTTCTGCCTCAAAAGTGAACCAGATATTTTCCATATAAAATTTTAGTCAGCTAAGTATCTCTTACTGTTTTATCTTCGTGCGATTACCCTAACCAGTGAGCTTTCCTCGGTGTTACTTTCGTTAATAAGTGTTCTGGTGAAGAATGAAATCACACCAAAACTAGCCTTGATTTCGTCGATATTTCGTTTACGTGGCTTAATTTTGTGCTGAAAATTATTTGGTTCTTTACGAAAGTGTCTGATATTCCGACAAGACCGGTTAAGGCTATAACGAGGTATTTTGCCAACTTGTATATGAGGCTTCCAATGCAGTCCACAAATGCCTACGCCTTGTTTGAAATGAACTTGCAAATCTTTAACAGCATGCTGTGACGTGATGCAATGCATTGTGCCGTGGTCTCGGTTGTTTGTAGTAGCTGATTTTGGTTTGGTTTTTCTGTCGTTTACTGATAGTCATTGTTATGGAACTTTGCATCGTATTTAGCACTTTCACATAGCAGTTAAATCTGTGCAAGTCTCGTCCTGTTTTTGTTGAAGTGTTTAAAATTTTTCTTACGTTTTCATCGAAGCTGAGTACGGAGCACGACAGATTGTTTAGTCAGTCTGTTTTGCCGCCTATCCTTCAGGTGGTGGAGGCAGCCACTTTGACAGGGTCTTCAACGTTTCTGATCGGGTGCTAGTGTTTGAGTTTCGGCAGAAGACTACCTGAGTCTGGATCAAAATCTTTCGAGACACTTGCCCCTGGGTTTTCGACCGGTAGGTTTGGCAAATAAAGGTTCTTCTGCCATCTTTTCTGTAAGCATTCAAAGGATGTGACGAAACCATCGCAGCTGTGAGTTCTCGACACAGGGAAGCAGCGGTTGTGCACCAAGTCTCTGTGCTATCTGAACGCTGGACCATGCCGAGACGCGTGAACACAGCGATTGATCTTTGAAAGCTCCTCATTTCAGGCGCGTGTACCCGAGATCGACATTTTTCAGCCATAGACAACGATCCATGACCGTAACTGAGCATCGGGTTGAAGATCTGCTTGAACACAGAGCTTAGTCTTCAGACTCAATTCTGCTTTAATCACAGTGGTTCAGACTGTTAGAACCTTTGTTCACGCAGGATACCGCTTGCCATTCCAATTCACCGGTTGATCTCTTCCCATTTTTCATGATGAGTGAAAACGACTTCGAGATTCTCTTGCCCGGCTGTGAACTGGTCGATACTTCATAGATCAGTTTAAGAAACTGCAAACAGAACAACGACATCTTGCAAGATTCCCTAATTCACACCGCCTTCACTAATTTACCCTGCGCCTTACTACCTTAGCTATGCTCTAAGAATTTGTGCAATTCAGTTGAACTGGACCGAAAAGTTGTCGTGAAGTCTCCTAAATTAAGCAATAAATGTATGTAAACGTCATATGCAGGTAATGTATTTGAGTTATTCCCTTACATATTTATAGTTATAGCTGATGTTACCGTCCAAGCTGGTAGTACCGCTGGTATTTGTTGGATTATCAAGTGTACCTCGATTGAAATTATTGCCTGATGTTTAAGGAATTATGCTGTAAGAAACATACTATGCCAGTCAGTACTAAAAGGCCACTTAGTTTCATTCTGTACCGAGGTGGGCGAAGGTTCTTGAACTGAGACCTGTATTCCTGTTCTTTGTTTTGTCGTCGTTATTTAAGGCTAACATAATTAAGCATCAGAGTTGACCAGATTGGTGATTTTCTGAATGTCGTCTCAGATATATCCCTTACCTTCTGATCTCTGATAATCATGTGCGGATATTCATTATATGTTATTTGTACTTCAGTGTCATAGAATCTTCAGTCTCTTCTACTTCATCGTTTGCGATAAAGTCTACTCTCCTTTTGGATCTGTATAATCCAGTTTTTTATGTTACAGTGAATTGATCGCAGTCTGTTGATCATTCAAATTATGTTGGCAAACTCTTGTGCTCATTAAAAAAAACTAATTAATTCTTTAACAGTTTTAGTTTCTGCTCTTTGCGAAGATGGAGAACGAACACTCAAATATTGCTGCTTCTGAAAAGCTGTTGAGTTCCACTAACAAAATGAGCGCTCCGGTGCCTTCCGGCAACGTGTCTGCCGGTAAAACGTACGACAAAGAGAGCGAAAGGGTAATATTGTTAACCTTTAACATGTTTAATGCAATACTGGCATATAGTACATAGTCAAGTGACATCTAATAGCACGTCTAATGTGACTTACTCTAAATGCAAATATACATTAACATTTTTGCGGTTAATTTGCGTAAGATAATTCTAAAATTCGTCATATGTCGATATGTCATTTCTCATGTTTTATTAATGGTATAAATATTCTCTTGTGCAGGCTGAAATGCGTAGCAAATATACATCACAGTATGTTTTACACCTTTATTTTGTAGAATATATCACGTTTCGAACCATGCTGGTTCATTGTACAATGACATAATGATTACAACAAACAGCGTAATATAAATAAATTCAGCTTGTATTAGTTAACTGTTTTGTTATAATCATGGTCCCTGATGATGATCTATTATAATTCGAGGTCGGGCTACTTGTATATAGCACCGCTAACGGAATAAACCCGTCTGAATATTGCTTAATGAATAATTGTGCCCTTTTAAAGAATTGCAGCAATATTAGTGAAGTAGTGAATATGCGCATTCATTTAATAATGATTATAAATGTAATATGTTGTCAATATGTCTTACTAATGTATTTGATGATGTGCATCATGTTAGAAACTAGCATGCATAACTAATATACATATAAATTTCTACACTAATGTTACATTTGTAATGCAGTACTGACATATCCGAAATGTGTCGATGCTGTGTATGTATGATGCTAACATGTTTAATATTAAATAATATACATGTGGGCTTTACATAATATTGCTTTTTACGCGATATCTATTTTCTTCTTTATTCCTCCGTTTCACCACAGAAGCCGTCATCAGTGCCATTCGCAAACGGTAACAAATTTTAAGAAAGTTTTTGCTTCTGAACTACGTGGATGTTCATGTTCTGTACCAGAAGCCGAAGCATCTGATTAAAGGAGATAGTCCCTATCACGCCTAAGCCACTGTTTGACGTAAAAGGTGGACAGGTTTATTTTAGTTGGCGAATATTGTAGATAGATGAACTTTCGAAGGTAGTTGTTTCCACTGATGTTAAGTATGTAATATAATGCTAAGGGATAGTCTGTTGTAGCCTAGTACACTTGATTTTGTCAATTTTTAAATATGTATTTGTATTTCATCATTTTGTTCTTTCCTATCCAACAGTATTTAACGATTTCAGGTAGAAATCAATATCGTTTCACCAAAATACTCCTGCTTAACGAAAGAGGAACTACAGCGTTATGCAGATGACCCTTTCTGGAAACGTCTTCGCATGTCGCTCTTCATCCTTTTATGGGGAATATGGTTGGCAATGTTTGTTGGCGCCATAGGTACGTAAGTCGACGATGATTTATAAAAGTTTGAATTTGAATTTTTTACTTTCTTTAAGTGATCGTTGTGATCAGTCCAAAATGTCCTTTAAAGCCAACTCGTTCATGGTGGCAGAAACAGATGAGCTATCAGATATGGACTGCTAGCTTCCAAGATTCCGACGGTGACGGTGTCGGTGATTTGCAAGGTACTTATCCGACTTTACATCTATCAAATTGTTGTCCATAATTATGTTGCCTTGAATTTTTCCTTTCCTGCGTATAGATATGATCAGTCTGTAATTTTCTATTCTTCGTTTATGACAACTGTTAACTGTAGGCTAAGTGTCAAATGAGGTTTATGTTTGATGGCTATTGTAACTGGGATCTTATAATGAATGAAAATGTTCAAGATTGACTCTTTTACTATCTGCATTTCTTCGTGTAGATTGCTAATAGCAGCTGATTGAGTTAGTGCTGAAGTTTTGTTTCGTTCTTTGTTTTTCATCATTGGTGACTTCATAAATTCATTTTTTGTCGGCCTGTACGACATCTGGCGGAAACATCTCTATATATTTCATTTGTATATGCATTTTTTATTTGGGCCCTAATCTACATTTCTAATTTAACTGATATACAAAGTGTAAGTAAAGGAGAATAGGAAACGTACCAGCTTCGAAAAAAATTGAAATTCATAAACGACTGTAAAATTAGCGAAATGGAACTGGATCGAAGAGACGTAATTGATAGATATAACGTCATCCGCCACTCACCCTACCCTTAAATGAAGTGGTGTCTCTGATCTGGTGACTGTTATGTTTACAATGTGACATGAGGAGTACTGTCGACTAAGCGTTATAAATTGAATTTATTATATGTGTATATATATATCGAAGTTCGGTTTTTCGATTGTTTGACTTTGTGTTTAGTTTTGCTTTCTTCTCATCTTGGTCGAATGGAATACTTCTTCATCGAGCACTAAGCGTACGCTTATTTCAGGCATAATTAATCGAATTCCAGACCTTCTTCGACTCGGAGTGCAGTCTCTTTGGTTAGTTCCATTGCTAAAAAGTGCTAAACTCAATGGATATGATATTGTGAACTTCACTCAAATCGAACCACGAATCGGCACAATGGAACAGTTTGACGATCTATTGAAGAAAGTTCACGAAAAAGGTAATTTGTGAAGGATTGCGGATTTTCGTTATTGTGCTGTTTTTACATTGTGGGTTACGAAATAACACGCAAGAAGATCCTATACTGTGTTGTGTATTTCGTTTATGCCAGAAGTCTGTGTATCTGCACATCTTTCATTGTAGCTACAAATGTGACTTCTACAGAAAGTGAAAATATGGTTTAGCATTTTTTGTTGTCGCAGATTCATAGAAACTGCTCAGTGCTCGAATTTTAAAGACATTCAGCTGACTAATGGCAAGAGATCATTTTAATCTCCTTAGTATCTTAGAGTAGTGAGCTTTCATTGTTTTTTGAAATTCTAGGCTCGTTTTCTCTTCGTTTTTACGCTGGTTATCTTGTAAAGTAAGATTTATAACTACTGTGATTTTTTAAGTCAGTTTTTAAGCCCTGTGTTGTGTCAGTTTTTGTCTAATAAACTAATTTAGATATGTTTTTGGTGATGGATTATCCTTTATCCATAACAAGCTCTCTTCATCCTTGGTTTTCTGACAGCGCGGCTCGTAAAGCACCTTTCAGCAATTTTTACATATGGCGAAAAGAGGCTCCCAACACCTATGTAAGGCGAATGTATTCTTTCGTCAACACCTGTTCTTTATTCTTCGATTTGGGCAGATGTGGTCTCTAAATGACATGCGAAACGAGCATTACCTGCATTACCCTTCAAATCCGAATCGGCCGATTCTGAACTGGTCTGACTATGGGTTGCGCGGTCAGATGGCTTCAGGTCTCAAGTTTTGGCTGGATCATGGCGTTGACGGCTTTTACCTGGGCTTCATCGAGTACATGGCGCTGAAGGACAGCGGCAAAACGGTAATGCGGCTGCGGCTAGGGCTTAAGACGAGGAAAAAATCATTAATCGTTTTCTGTTTCAGGACTGGAATGCGGTCCATGAACATCTGAAAGAAATTTCTGATGGAATTCATGAATTTAAAAATTCCACCAACAACAAAGAAATGTAAGCTGATTTTCTGCTGAATCCTTTGTTAAAAGAACAGTAATGAAATTTTTCTGACTTTTTATCGAAAGAAGCGTTTCAGTACAACCGGGATAAAATTTTGGAATAGTTGGTTACTCCGGATTTCATTGAGTTTTTGAGACTTTCTTCACTGCCCAAGGCAGCGATATGCTAGGATCTGATACAAGGCGGATCGAAGCCTCAAACGATAGTGACATATTTTGAAGCGTGATATTATCATAAGTACAACGTGAAACCGTAGAATAGGTAAGGTTGAAGTCAAAATTAATTTTTTGGCGTCATGCCAAAGTAGAATAACGCGTAGTGATGCACTTACGCGCATTTTCACCTAACTTACATTTCTGACTAAGCCCAATTTGTCTTAAGATTTTCAGTTTAACTTTTGACTGTAGTATTTATATGATGATTTATTTGAATACGCTTACCGATAGATTGAGTTTCAGAATTAGATAGGAAGGTAGTTTTTATGATTGGTGCTCGATCAAGTATCGTTTAACTTCACGGTTTAGTAAACATATGCCGAAAGTGTTTCACATTGTGCGAAATGTACGAGCTTTCATGAAAGAGCATGAGATGTTTGTTTACGATTAAATCTATTCACAAACGAAAACCAAATTTAATTTGATTAATTTAGTACGTTGTGAATTTTTTAAAAATTTCATATAATTTTCAGATTGTTGTTTACCTCTCTCTCCGAAAAGTCCAACGTAGAGAGCCTTAAGGCCTCTCTCGTTAGTGAGGGCAGTTTGAACTACGTGCTTAACACGGAACTGACGACCGTCGATGAATTGTGCAACGCTAAATGCGTTTATGATCATTTGAATAAGATCAAGGCATTCCACGAACGGTTCAACGAAACATGGCCGATGTGGGAGGTGCGTGGTTGCATGAGTCAATAAATGTTTGCTAACTGTGAATTCATGGTTTTTCTTCTCAGATTGGCAATCCTTACGTCAGTCGTTTAGCAACTCGTGTCGGAGGCATCGAAAGAGGTGAATTGTTTATGTTGCTGTTGATGATGCTTCCCGGTTCGATCAACACGTATTATGGAGACGAGCTGGGGTTGCTTGATGCTGATGAGCAGAGTATTCAGACCGTGCCAGATCAAGGCGTAAACTATTTTTGGTTCATTTGCAATTAGCGCAATTACTTTGTGGTTTAGAAAAATGCGAAGTACCGCGTGGCGATGCTTTGGGACGGTTCATTGCCTAATGGCGGATTTTCGCCGGCATCAAAAGCCATGGTTCCTCTTAGCAATCTTTCACAGGCGCACTTCATGGTTTGTGTTTTTATGACAACCTTTTTGTTTGACACCTATAGTCCATAATCTATAGGCTCAGTACGACGAAATGTATAGCCCACTACAGACATTCAAAAGAATGGCGAACCGCAGAATGAGGGACGATGCCTTTCTTTATGGCGCATTTGAACTGTTCCCTCCCGATAATGATGTTTTGGTAATTAGCAGAAACAGTCTGACAAATACAGCGGTACGTGTTAATAGCTGCTTTTTGCAATAATTTTTTATTTTTCTACAAAACAGTTATATCAATCCATAAAATTTATGGCATTCCGAAATAACATGAATTGGTGACGCATTAATTTAGCAATATGATATAATTGAATGGTTCTGTCAACAACTAAAAACAAAGTCATTCAAATATCTTTAACACTTTTTTCGTCTAATTATTTCTTAGACGTTCCTTTTTATTTTTGTCACTCCTGGGTTTATTTGCATGTTTAAATTTTAAGTTCCTCGGTACTCTTATAAAATCAACCTCACGAGAAAACAACAACTAGAATGCGGAATCGCATGAGTGTGTTTATTTTAGCCGTCACAGTCTAAGTCATGGCCATCTAAACGGCCGGTTAGGAACGCTAAAAATCCTTATGGGAAATGAATGTTCTGACTCCTGGCATTAGCATGATCACTGGGATCATTATTGGCACTTTTTTTTCTCGAAAACCTTTTAATTGTTCCTTAAAGTTTTTTCACTCTAGCGTCTAAATGTAATATGACTTAGAAATGCAATCGCTAGTGCAGTAGCTGAACGTAGGAAATATGTGCCTACGGAAGTAGCATGTCAGCGGGCTTTTGAAGAGAATTTTGTTCGGCCCTGTCCAGCAATGCGGTTTTGCATCCATACTAAAATATCGTTAAGTGTGGCCTGTTAAATGGTCCCCTAGGCTGTTAGAAGCAAGAAGACGGTGCATCTACGCCGTCTAAATCCGGGAGTAACAGAAAATGTTATTTTTTAATGGCGGTATTGAAAACTGGCAGTTTGGTAGTAAACCCATAAGATCTATATTTTTATATATAAGAACTATTTTGCCTATTAGAAATAATTAGTGTTTTACTGTCGTTTCAGACAACATTGAATTTGAATTACCATTTTTATTGAAGAGTAGGATTTTGCTAAGAAATATTCCTAACGGACATTGATGCTATGGTTCTAAGAATAACTACTATGCTTTGTTAGGGGCAGCAGGTAGTAATGAACAATAAAGATAGGTAAAAAGAATCACTAACGAAATTGGAGATATAAGTCGAAATAACCGGAGTCACTGATGATACATATCCAAGATTTACCTTAATATTCTTATTTTCAGGCTGTTCTTTAAACGTTTATGGCAGCAGGGGAATCATAAAAATAATATAAATGTCGTCTAGTATTTTGCTTTAACGTTTTGGATTTGTTTAAATCAGTGATATTTTGTCGTTATCCTGGGTATAATGGTTTGGTTTGCTGCCATTGCGTTAGTGTAATGGTTGGGTTGTTCTTTAAAAGCTTTATTTCTTAATTTTGTTGATTTCACTGTTTTAAAATTTGCCATTTCAGAATTATACCGCAGTGTTCAATTTTGGACCTAAGGAGCAAGAAATAAATCTTTCAGAAGAAAAGTATGG